TCCTCACTGACTATTTGGAAGGTTTCTTCATGGTCTATCCCAGCTGTTCGCTGAGAGGATGGCTCTGTGCTGTGGCTGCTTCTTGTGATCCCCTTGGATCATAGCAGTATGTACACAGAATTAGAATATTCTCGCTGTTCACGCTATCAACCTGAGAGCTCATGTGGGGACTACGTGCATCAAACTAGAGCCTGTAAGTATATTAACCTGGTGAATCAGATGTAGCAGGAGAGGGTGACATTGGATTGTGCAGGGACAGGAACAGTGTCATTTTTCACTGTTTCACACCAATGTCACATGACTTTTCTGAGGCGATACTATGGTGTAGAAGAAACTGGAAAACCCACCTGGGCTGCCACATCAGCCCCATAGAGGCCATCCAGAAGCCTGGTCAGACTCCACTCCCACCATTCATCCATGCTTCTCAGGTCACCAAAAGAGTTCTCAGCATGTCTTGGTACAAGAACAAAGAACAGAAACAAAATGTTTTTTCTGTATCAACAATGATAGTCAATGGTGAGGATAAAAATGTTTTTCCTGTCATTTGTTTCTCAAATTACATACTTTCCAGAGACTTTAAAGGAATTAAAAGCAAAATCATTTATACTTTGATGTGCAAACCCCCAGCATTCTGCTACTTAGCACAGCAGGAGAGAGGGCAGTATGACGAATAAAGCACGTAACTCATTTACTCACTTATTCACTCAACAAACATCACCATGCAATTTCCATGTGCCAGGAACCATTAAGGCTCTGAGAAACAGAAAACAAAGTCCCTTTCTTGTGTAAGGAAACAAATGATATTACTGGGTACCACTGAATTGATGCTGACTCACAGTGACCCTAAAAGACAGACTACAAACAACAGTCCCTTAAGGTTTCCTGGGCTGAAATCTTTACGGGGCAAATCTCCAGGACTTTTGTCCCACAGAGCCACTGGTGGGTTCTAACAGGCAACCTTTCTGTTAGGAGCTGAGTGCTTAACTACTGTGCTACCAGGGTCCTTCAAACCAAGCTATACGTAAGATAAACAAGCACAATATACAATATGTTGCTCAATCAAGGTTAAGGAGAAAATGTTACACAGAGAAGACAGGATGCAGTAGGGTGGGCAGGGGAACGTTTTAGTTCAGGTGTCTAGGGAGCACTTCGAGGTGATCTTTAAACAATGACTTGACAAAATGAAGGATGGGCCATACGACTCCTAAAGGAGACAGAGAGGGTGGCAGGGGCACAGGCTGCGATGGAAAAGTGCCTGATGAGTTTTGGAACAAGGTAGATGCCAACGTGGCCAATATGGAGTGAGAAATGGGGATGAGAGGAAAAGGAGACCTTGAGTCTCACGTATGAATAGCCAAGTCCTTTCTCATTTGTACTGCCTACTGAACATATCATTCAATCTCTTTCCTCAGTTCCCCAACAAAGAACAACAATAACAGGACCCTGCCATCAAGACGGCTCTCAGCACGCACTGAAAAGCAGAGATGCAGTGTTAGCACGTAGTGGTGTTGGTTTATGTGCTGTGGAGTCAGTTCTGGCTCAAAGCAACCCTACATAGGGTTTCTGAGATCGTAAATCTTTATAGGAGCAGAAAGCTGCCTCCCGCAGAATGGCTGGTTATTTTCAAACTGCTGACCTACTTGAGGTCAGCAGCCCAACTTATAACCACTACACTACCAGAGCTCCTTATTGGTACATAGTACGGGTCAACATGAGGCAGTGGTGGTCCAGTGGTAGAATTCTCACCTCCCATGTGGAAGACCCAGGTTCAATTCCAGGCCAATGGCCCTCATGTGTAGCTATCACCATTCAGTCAATAGAGTCTATGTGTTGCTCTGATTTCTAAATAGGTTTCTGTGGAGCTTCTAGACCAAGACAGACTAGGAAGAAAGGCCTGGTGATCTACTTCCAAAAATCAGTCAGCGAAAACCCCATGGATCAGAGCAATCCAATCCACTACCGATCATGGGGATGGCACAAGACTGGGTAGTGCTTCAAAAGCAACTAAGACAAATCAAACTTTGATGAAAAAATATATAAACTATAAAGCAAATCACAGACCTGCCCAAACACTCAGAGGTGAGATGAAGTAGCTGGAAGGAGATGCTTCTGGAGACAGACATGGGATGTGTACCATAGGCTGATCCAGCTCTGCAAGCATGCACAACCTCAGTCAGAGGAAAGAAAAGGATAAACACAGAGAGGCAATGAGGGAGAGAAAGAGGGAAAGTGGACTTGAGGGAACGAGGGAGAGGAGACAGATAAAGAAAGAAGGTTAACTTACAAATAGAGAATAATCTAAAGTGTCTGTTCTTGTAAGCAAGACAGTTGGATCCCATATAACAAACAATTTACTTATCCTATTTATAAGCCATGATGATCCATATGGAGTTTTGATGTGGCGCTGTGGGATAAAGCACTGGACCGTAAGGTCAGTTTGAACTGCAGGTCGGTGGTTCAAACTCACCAGCAGCTCCAGGGAAACCTTATACTGAGTCACTGTGAGTTGGAATTGACCCGACGGTACTTAACAACAACAAGACAATGATCCACATTTTGTGTTTTTAAAAAATCATAATAGTATTATAGACTTTTAAAACCATGTGGTGTTTTCACAATTTTCAAGTAAACTGTTATTAATTCTTGGCAGTTGCTCTTCAGTTGGGATAACATTAAAGAGATTAATTCAAGAACTGAGTGTGACCTAGATAGACCACATCCTATCTGTGTACATTTCATTCCTCAATCCTGACAAGCAGACTGGTGAACGAAACTATTCAAGAATACTCTACATCTGTCTATACTAACTCAAGTAATTTCATAAAAGAGGTCTACAAAATAGGTGACCAATTCCAAAGAGAAAACCAACAGTTATTTTCCATTAATGGTAGATGGAGTGAGGACCTAGGTCATCGATTGGTGGTTTATTTTGTTTTTATTATTTGGAAATCAATAGAGCCTATATTGATTTGTTGTTTGCTATCAAGTTGGTTCTGACTCATAGCAACCCTGTACAGGGTTTCCAAGAGTGGCTGATGGTTTTGAACTGCTGTCCTTGTGGTTAGCAGTTCATTGCTTATATTACAGTGGCACCCTTAAGAAGAAGAAATTCTTGCAGATCAGGGCACTAAGGCCCAGAGTCAAAGGACTCACCCAACGTCAACTGGTCACCAAAGGCGAACTAGAACCCCAGTATCTGAGTTCTACTTAATTCTATTGGCCTTTAGTTCTTCAATATATGATGCTTGTTATTATAATTGTTTAGTGCCATGGAGTAGGCTCTGACTCATAAGTGACCCTGTGTAGGGTTTCCAAGGAGTGGCTGGTGAGTTTGAACCACCAACGTTATGGTTCAAACTGATGTTGAGGTTAGTACTTATTCTACAGTGCCACACCAGGGCTCCCATCTATGCTGGTAACAAATGTTAAACTCTGAATGAAAGTGGCTGATATTTCAGAAGAATACACCGATGGGTAAAAGTAGGGAATGATTCCAATTTAAACATTCCATCATAAACTAGTATACATAAATATCTCTGCCTGGTGGCCAGAACAGCCAGAGATAGTGAGGTCTTAGCCTCCTGTGGGACGCACAAGGTCAACATGATCCAGTGACAACTTACCCACTGAGTTATGAATCACTTGCATGTGCACATGAGACATCTCACAAATATTACTTCAGCCACATTTCTCATTTTAATATCAAAAGGCAAAATTATGAGAAATATGTCAAATAATGCTGATTTGTAAAATGTGAGGTAAAAAACAAACTACCAAAAGCTAGACAATTTTCATGTTTAGATTTGCAGTTCCAGAAACTACCAAAATGGTCTCTTTGTTTTGCACATAGCACCATCTACTGACACAAAATGGGAGAGCTGAAGTTGATTGTTAAGGGAAATAGCTGCTGTTTTTGTAAACGGAGAGGTAGCAAATTTCATTTCATTTCACTGTTAGGATGTTCATTAATATTAGGTTGAATTATGGAGTTACAGAGAGCTGAGACTCCTTTAATGAAGACTTCTTGGTCTTAATTACTAGTGGGCCAAGTACTTGACATGTGACCCACATACATCCAGCCATTATCTGTTTGGATATCAATCTTCATCTCTTTTGTAGAACATGAAATTGTATGTCCTGAAATATTAGAAAAAAATGACAGAATTTTCCAGAAAAAAGATTCAACAAAAACCAAAAAGTAATTTATATCAAATCAAATCACTTTAGTCAAAGGTAACACATTCATAGCAAAGCTGTAGGAAAGTGTTTGAAAATAATCTCCAGAAAAAGAAAAAGCAAATTATTTCACTCAATTGTTTTCTTTCACCAAAACCATATCAAAGAACCAATATTAACTCATATTAGCCCTTCAGATTGCAAAGATAAAGTGCTTTGGTAGAGCTATTAGATTAAAGATTTTGGCAGGTGAAAATAAAGTCTATTGATTTAATAGCATCTTTTCAGTTAAAAAATGCTACATTAGATGTACATATGTTTTGCATTTTAGAATTAAAGACATGTGACATAACAAAATATGGTTGTTTGTTGTTGTTAAGTGGCTTTGAGTCGGTTCCGACTCATAGCAACCCTGTATAGGGTTTCCAAGGAGCGGCTGGTGAGTTTGAACCACTGACCTTGTGGTTTAAATTAGAAGACAAAGACATGACTTGACTTGTGTAAAGTAAAAAAGCCAAAAAAAAAAACCCAAAACACTGACCTAAAGCCTGAGTGTTGATCTTCCTAAATCCTCACCAGAATTTCTGAATGCCCCTGAGGACATGCACTAGCCATGAGTGGGTTGTTCTGGTAGCATAGTGGTTAC